AGAAAGAAAGAAAGAAAGAAAGAAAGAAAGAAAGAAAGAAAGAAAGAAAGAAAGAGAAGAAAGAAAGAGAAGACAGACAGGGAGTGGATGTTCCTGCCATGTACACAATACTCACCTGTGAAGCCTTCGTTGCAGAAGCACAAGAAGTTTCCGGGCACGGGTTCACAAATACCCTTGTCGCCGCAAGGGTTGCCTTCGCACATGTTGACATACTCATCACACGTGTTCCCTGTGAAAGTACAAAGTTTCCAACGTAAATATTATTATTTTGAGGTTCAACTCCATAATATCTGCATTTATTTGTCATTTAATTGAAGGTGTAAGGCTTATTCTACTACGTCCACACCGGGGAGAGAGGTAATACATTATGTAGATTCTGTTTCGGAAAAAAAAAATAGATTACTTTATCCCAGACCTGAAGTTTTCAGAGACAGACTCTGTCCATAACTCCTCGCCTCTGTTCTATTTCATAAATTTTTTTTTTTTTCCATCATCTTCCTCTTCAGCTAGGAAAGACATTGTGGTCTATGACGCGTGCATCGTTGACATTATTTGCACTCCACCCAGAATCTACGAGTTGGACTCCACTATTGACTGAGTCTCACTTTCTTCACGCATCGGCAATCAGACAGTTGTGTTTTGCACAGCTACATCTTCACACAACACAACAGAGCGATGTTATGAGAATCTGATCTACTGAAGATTATATTACATATGCAGGTTACCTGAAGCGGGTGGTTACAGAGCGTCACTTTTGCCATGTACATTAACATAGCTTGTTCACTTTCATCTGTCCAAGTTGAAAGCAGTTCTAACTCATTTGTTAATTTTAATTTACCAATGTGCGCTAAACTCTGAACGACACTCGTGGTGGCCGACAATTAAAAAATGATTTTCTTTTAAATTCTTTGACCAGAAGTCAGAAATTACAAAAGTTTCATACTTTGGCCCTTTACTCATAACCATCCTTTGGATGAATATGCTTTATTTTTTCCCTTACCCTCCCCCTCCCAATTAAAAATGGACACAATTTTGATTATGTAGGAGGCATGGTGCTCCTACCCTACCTATCAATGGCAATCTTCTCAGCTCATTACCTTTGAAACCTTTGGGACAGGAGCAGGTGAAAAGACTTTGGCCACTGCCCGGAGAGCAGGTACCTCCATTCTCACAGGGATCCGCAAAGCACGAATTGAAGAATATAGCGGAACCATCGGAGCCGTCAGGGCTTATCGCTTTGTCTGACTGCATTTCCCAAGAGCCTGGAGCTGGAAACACACGTGTATGGTTAAAGTATAGTACGGTACGGTAAGGCACGGGATGAATGGGGTGATTGTGTTGTATGGTATGGTATGGGATGGAATGGGGTGTTATGTAATAGTATAGTCTGGTATGGCATGGTACGATACGGTACGGAATGGGATGGATGGGATGATGGTATGGTATGGCATGGGATGGGATGGGATTGGATGTTATGTTATGGTATGGTATGGCATGGTATGGTATGGTATGGTATGGCATGGTATGGTATGGTATGGTATGGTATGGTATGGTATGGTATGGTATGGTATGGTATGGTAATATGTGCCATCGTGCAGGTTTGTCTCCGGGCGCAGCAAAATAACACTTTTAGGAAACAAGACTCTTGAATTGAATCAGTCCCCAATAGGGAAAATATCAAAACACGGGAACCAATGCAACTGAAAGACATCCCGTGTTAGGCACTCGAACAAGAATGCCTCATATTTCAGCAAACCGAAACGGAGCTATGAGCAACCAACCTTGAATTTGAAATTCATGTCTTTATTTTTAACTTGATTGAACGTAAACAAATAAAATCTATACTTCCACCATAATCATTTTTTTCTGCAAGACTTTCAAAAACACTTTTAGCGCTTTCGAAAGGGGACATTTTTCCTACATTAGTATAGATATGTTCAATTGTAAAACACAGTTTGAAGAGCAATTGCTTTTGACCTGTGTAAGCCAGGCAGAACAATATGGACTTTCCTCGGATGCCCAACCTTTATATAAATAATATGACAGACAGGCAGACAGACAGACAGACAGACAGACAGACAGACAGACAGACAGATAGATAGATAGATAGATAGATAGATAGATAGATAGATAGATAGATAGATAGGTAGATAGATAGATAGATAGTAAGATAGATAGATAGATAGATAGATAGATAGATAGATAGATAGATAGATAGATGGATGGATAGTTAGATGGGTTGGTAGATAGATAGATACGGATGCATAAATGAATGGACAGACAGAGCAAAATGCAAACTCACGAATAATGCAGTCTTCCACTTTGGTTGCTCCATTCTGCAGTGCGATGCCCTCTGCTGGACACCGTATACACTGAGTCTGGCCCCGGCTGGGTTGGTAGCTGTAGCTCGGACATGGTAGACACGGCGAGAGCCCAGTCTCACTCGCCTGGCCAGGAGGGCATAGCTCTGGAGAGAGGACAAAATCAGATGGTATTTATTGTCAGTTAACTTACTTTACCATCTTTAAGCCTCCCAAAGCCCAACCCCGGGAAGTGGAAACTGGACAAAATAGGGGATTGCTGGGTTCAACGACGCCAAAACGATTTCAAACAGAATGAATGCAACATGATTGTTTCATGCAACTCAGGATACTAAATGGCTTGTGGAAATCACCATCGTACTGGACGATACCTAGCATGCCAGAATGGAACCGAAATCATTGAATTAACGCAAATGCTCAATTCCACTTCCAAACCTAGTAATAATAAAGAAGAACAAGAAGAAGAAGGAGAAGGAGGAGGAATAGGAGGGGGAGGAGGAGGAAGAGGAGGAGGAGAAGGAGGAGG